TTAAAAGGAGCATGAAATGATCAAAAGTCGTAACACTTCATAGATGGAGACACATTGACCTTTTCTTAATTTTCTCATTAGGATTTGTACCGATAAATATTTCATAAAGAACTAGCATAATACAACTTCTCATTAATAGATGTCGCCCTCACGAGAAATGTGGAAGTATATCTAATAAAGTTTCGTAGAGGGCAGTGAATTTCTGAACTAAAAAATTGGCCGGCTGCCGGCTGCAATAGTAGTCCAGCAAAATAATTACATTGAACTGAGGAAATCGATGGTGCAACTAATTTGGTCACTTGGAAACAAAAAACTATGAAATACAGGTGTTCCGCCGCCGCTTTTTACTTTTTATCTTATATTTTACATTTATTTTTATTCTTATTTAGTTTCTTGCCATTTTCGCTCATATTCAATATTCAACTGCCGCTCTTCTTATATTTTATATCGTCATTTAATTATTTTTATTCATTTAGTTTCTTGCCGTTTTCGCTCAGTATAGTATAGTGTAGTGATTTATTATAATACGCGTAAAATGCCGAAAATTGTTGGAAAAAGAAAGAAAAGGACTAATCGTGCCAAATCCATTAAATTAAGTTGGACCAAGAGACACGAAAAACAGTACGTATGCAGTTTTTATTATTTGTTTATCAAACGAAATAGGTAGATACTGTAACGGTAATTATTTACTTTACATGCATAGAAAAATCGCGTTATTTTTCATTCATAATAATTATTTCTTCCATTTTAGAAACAATACTACTTCCGGAAACGTGGATTGTGAAAATAATGTTGAATGTGACAAAAGTGACAATATGAATTGTATATAAATTGTATATATTGTGTGTATATAAAATATGCATGCAAGGTGTCCCACGAGGAAGTGCGCAAAAGGGCATTCCCTAGGCAAAAATAACCGATAAAGTTTATATAAACAACAACTAACCGTTGACAAAGAAAATCGTCATGTTACAGCGAAAGACACCAAAAATCATCGCATAGTAATTCCAGTGGTGGAGATAGAGAGGGGTATCTATGAATATTTTTGTAAAAAGAAGTATAGCCGAACTGAAATTTTGCAAGTGTTTTCGAAAAATATGAAAGCGCATTCAATTTTACCCAGAGAAGGCTCTGTTTTCTGAAGTCGATGGAACGTAACGTTTTCAAGAAAAACCGAAAATACCGTTTAGAAGTCACATCATAATTTTTAAACATTAGCAACTAAATTAAATAGTTCAAAAATTCAATCAAAATTGTTTTTAATTAATTAAGTGGAAATAAATACAAAAAAAATATCGAAAATCATATTAAATCACAGTAAATGTTCGAAATATAAACCATTATAAATTTTTTAACTATTTAATTTAGTTGTAATGTTTAAAAATTATGTTTCGACTTCTAAACAGTATTTTCGTTTTTAATATTAAAAACCGTTATTTACAAAAGTTATTTGGAACTAAGAGCAGATGTCAAATACTAAATCACAGTCGCCTACTCAATTTTTTTTAATTTTTTGCATTTTTGCGACCACCTGTGAATTACAGAACATAGAATACCGTAGGGACAACTTATTCACAGATTAGATTGGCCACCATATAGTCCATACTTAAACCCAATAGAGCATATATGGGATGAGCTAAAACGCCGAATACGAAGAAGAAATCCCGTTCCAAGTACAATACAGATTTTTTCAGGAATAAATTATAAACATTTTTAATTAAATATTCGATAATTTTGTCCATGAGTGTAGTTATTTATTAAANGTGTCTCATCTCGTGAGTAAATTTTTTTCATTAGCAACATTGTTTTTTTAAACAAAAAATCAGTTTTTCGAATATATTGGGAAAACTATTGATTTTAAAGAAAAGTGTTCTACAGACGAAATATGCGAAATAAAAAGACCTACAACATGCCGCGTGACATATTAAAATCGGATAAATTGTTTAAGAGTTATTGCAAAAAACAAAAAAAAATCGTGGAAAATTAAAAAAATTAACTCACGAGAAGAGACATCTTTTCTACTGCCTTCCTCTGCACATTTTAACAATAAAATAGCCGACGTCAATTCATCGATTTTTTAGACCATTTACTTCTATAGCTACGCGTCTATATGTTTATCATCAACATAGCTACTTACTTTTTAAAATTTCTAGTTGCCAAACAATTATATTCCAAGCATTCTGCCGGCCAAATGTCAGGTTTACAAAAATTATTATCTGGAATAAAATATGACCGTACTGGAAATTAAATTTTATATTGAGTTTCTTCTTTAAATTCGATCCAAATTGGCGAACATGTCCAAAAAAATTCCCGAAGTTGCAGAAAACAGTTTTTCTTAAATAACTAAAAAACTATAGCTCCAATCGAAAAATAATCTTCTCTTGTCTCTTCTTCTATAACTCGTTTACATTTACGTTCCCATACTCGTTATTTACTGTAAGTATAGCTTGCGGAAATGCAAGAAACTACATTTTTAAAAAATTAAAAAATATTTATTATTTTTTGGGATATACCGATTTTTTGAAAAAAGGTGCTCTCGAAAATTGGCTAGATCTTCTCAGCGGATAGCCCTACAGTAACGATTTCTGGCTTATTTTCTGCACATAGGGTTGCATTACCATGCTATTAATAAATTTTTACGATTTTATTAATTTTAAGGATAAAAAAAATGACTTGAGAAATTGCACTTTTTTGGGCATCTTATTTTCAATTAACTATTTTTATTTTATTAAAATGATTTTTAAATAAACAAATTGCTATTTTTTCACGAATCTAATAAAAATGTTTTTCTATAACCTTTTGGAGCCGAGATAACTTTTTTATTTAGAAATTTATATATTTTTATATTGTCATATTTAGTTGTTCTTTTCTACAAGTCTCGTGAGTGATATTTAAAATAATAGACAAACTAATACGTCTCATATGAGTAACGCGAATTGCCTTCATTTATAAAAATTGTTCATCAGGGACTTCTTGTATAAATGTTACTAGTAGCACACCAGTTTTGAATTTCAATCGATGTTTCAATGTACTTTTTATCAATGTAAATTGATCGTAGTGTTGGAAGCTTCGCTTTCACGTCTATTTTTTTGTCTTTTCGCTTTCAGTTAAAGACAATGTCACTACACCAGGAAAATTAGCGAAAATAAAAGAGAAACTCGAAAAAAGTCCTATCCGCTAGATTATTTTAAAATTGTCTAAAGGAACATAATACAAGACATCTCTCGTCTCGTGAGTCAAAAACTTTTATTAGCTAACTTTTCTATTTAAACAAATAAGTGAGGAAAACAGTTTTTTCACTTTGCAGGGAAAACCATCAATTTTAGCGAAAAGTGACTCTCAGACAGCTTATAG